AGTTCTTTTTTTTAAAGATTTATTTATTTATGCATACAAGAACTGGGGTACAGGCCAGAGGTGTGGGGGTGAGAGGATTCACCAGGGACAGAGAGGGGAACAGACAGGTGGATTGACTGAAATACACAGCTGAGGGGAGCAGTGGGTGAGACAGTAGTGGTCTGCTGCACCATGTGGGTTGCTCCCTGGCCGGGGATCGAACTCGTGCTGCAGTGGCTGTGGACAGCTTCATAGGTTGCATCTTAACCCCTTGCACCACCAGGGAGGCCCCACACCAGTTCTTGTATGCATAAATAAATAAATCTCTAAAAAACAAATGGTGGTTGACCAATGAGTGGCCTAGGAGGGAAAAGCTGTAAGGAAGAAGAAGTAGAGTGGGTAGACTGGGGTGGGGCCCAGTGGCTGGCATGAAATTTTACTTAGACTCTGGAGATCGGTATAAGAGGGGCAGAAAGAGCACAAGGTGGTGATATTGGAAAATATAAAAAGTGATACAGGCCCAACTCTGTATCACTCTGTATCTGGAGATTAATTAATTGTCCATTAATTGGCTTGAGGGTAGGCAAGAAGACAGAGTAGAAATTCTTACTTGGGATCTAGAAAAAGAGACATGAGTGTGAACTTGGATGGCAGCAGTGGATTGGAAAGGACGGATGAAAGGGAAGAGATATATGGAAAACCCTGGGTTGTGCTGATTTGTTCGACGTGAAAGGAAGGAGGGAAGAACACTGAGTAGCTTTAAATGAACTGAATAATTCTTAGCCTAGTCTGCTGGGCTGATACACTCAGAGGCTCTGCCAATAATAATCGATAATTACTTCATTTATCCAGGTTCACATCTTTGTGCTGGCTTTGGCGTGACCTTGGGCATGATAGTTATTCTAAACTTCTTTCCTTTGTTGAATGGGGAACAGTAACAGCTCCAGCTTTACAAGATTCACTTCTAGTTTTTGAAGGGAAAATATGAGAACTGATGTAGAGGAACTTGTCTGGAGCAGGTTTTATTAGTTCTTTTCTTTTGTTAATTCTTCACTAATCAGTATTTCTGTTTTCTTCAACACAGAATTAAAAAGCTTTTAGTGTATTTCTCGGTCTGGTGTTTTTAATATCTCATGAATAATATGGAATTATTGAGAAACAAAAGAAAAGGTGATTATGAAAAAGTTTGAAATATTCAATAATATATTAAGTAGTTTTAGGAAATTAGAAAAATGACTTTTCTGAAGTTAAACCAACTTTTTATAGAGGCATGGGTATGAAGAAGAAAAGAGATCATTGCAGAAAAATAAAATGAAAAAAATAGATTGCATTAAAAGCAAAAAATCCAGTGAATTCTATCATTCATGAATATTCAGATAATATATCCACTTTTCCTGGGATACAATGGACAAGTCAAAGAATTTAAGGAATAAAAAAAAGAATGATTCAGCAAACTCAAGTAAGCAGAAGTAGTCTTTTAAAATAACTAGTTTGACAGGTTAGGACAGATCTTTTTATTTTAGGGCCAGGACATAATTGTTTGATATGTCTTCAGCTTCTTTCTTCCTGCCAGGACTCAGTCCTTTACCTCCTTCCTGCTGCCTTCCAAATCCCACCTGCCGGGAAGAGCAACCTGTGCACCTTCCCTCTGCCCTTCATATTCCTTCTAATTGCCCATGTTTATTAGTTTAATAAATTCCATTCCATTAACACCTACTAGGGGACTAGTCAACTCAAACTCACATTGAGTACGACTGAGTGGAGGATGCATACTTGGTGTCTCCAAACCCTTACTGACATGTGATGAGCATATTACAGGAGGCTTAGCCCAAGGAGATAAACTTGAAACTGGTCACGCTTCTCATTTATGGTGGACTTGCTGGATGAGAGATGGTGTATTCTTCCAAACCCTCATACTAGTGGGTGATCCTTAAATTAGGATAAACTTAAGCACCTTACAAGGGAGTGTAAAGAAGCTTGCTTTGAGGCAAGTCTTTTCTAATCCGCAACACAGCTCAAGAGCTAATAGTAGGGGTACATTAGTATCTCCATTGCTTGACATTTGTATTGTGCTTTGAATATTTTGCACAACCCATTCTGGAAATGACATCTTGGTGCACTGAAAGGCAATGTGTCTTGTCTAGATGACATTCCTGGTCAAAATGCTGTTTTCTACAAATAAAATTTTTGACTGTCAGGAGACTGCCTGTTTAATATTGCTTTTTCCTCCTCTGCCTTGTGTTTAGTCTTTTGATATTTTTCATTGATAGCTAAAATAAGGCAAAGGGAAATGAGAATTTTTTTGGAAGTAAAATACCAGTCTATGTTGCTGATCTATAAATCTGGACAATGTCTTGATAAGAAGCAGACACCTCTGTTAATTTTCTCTTCTCTGCCCCATCATTCTCTGTAATTAAGAACTGGCTGTATGTTCTGTAGTGACACAGCCTATAATCATTGGTTTTGATCTGCAATTCTCATTTATGAGACCCCAACCTTGTAGGTTAAAAGAGAAATACAAGTCGGGTCATTTTTCACTTTCCTCTCAATTCCAGTTCAATTTATTTTGAACTACTGTAAAATATTTGTGCAATATTGTCACTGGTTTGAAGCAAAATTACTACTATATTTGGAAAAGCAGCCTTTCTCACTGAGCTCTGGCCTGGGAGCCTAGCCATGCTGGTGACCACATAACATGTACAATATTCTACTCTTGTTTGGCTTGTGCATTTTGTAGGGACCTGGGCACTTGAAAACTGGAGTACAGTTTAGGTTAATTACAGAAATTATTTGTTAATATAAACGGAATCTCCTTTCCTTATTTGTTTGACGTTTATAAATATCCAGGTTTTCCCTCCATCTCTCCAGTAGTTCCTTCTTGTTTTGCCTCCTAAACCTGTGGCCATATTTATAAAACTTCTGACCTCAGAATTTCCTAAGAAAGATTTTGCATTTCCTTTTCCTATTTTTCATTCAGAAGCATTCTAAATGGAAGATCAGAGTCCTAAATCTCATATCGACAGGAATATTAAAGGTTGCCCATTGCAGATGATCACTGGGCAATTGAATTATTTTAGTAACTTCCCTGGAAAGTCTTCCAGCTTATTCTTGGAACCCTACTGTGATGCATCTCCTCATTTCTATATAACAGCAAATTGTATCATTGTTGTCAGCTTGATTAGTATAATCAAAAACACTTTCTACACCTCGTTTCTATTTTCCTGTATGGGCTCCTGAGGAGCAGGTTGAACCCATATCTCACAGCCCATTTGGGCCACTGTGACAAATACTAGAGACTGCATGGCTTTAAAAACAAACATCTATTTCTCACAGGTCTGGAGGTTGGTAAGTCCAAGATCAACGTGTCAGCAGACCTGGTGTCTGGCCAGATTCTGCTTCAGCCTTACAGATGATCATCTTGCTGTCTCATCACATGGTGGCCAGAGCAAGGCAGCCACTGATTTCTTCTTAAAAAGTCTTCCCCTTCATGACCTAATTAGATCCCAAAGACCATTGTCCTTCCAATACCATCACACTGGGGATTCGATTTCAATGTGTACCTTTGGGGCGGCATGTATGTGTTCAGACAACAGCACCGTCGTGAGTAAGACAGCTCCTTTTAGGGTACACGTAGGTTTCCTGTAGGTCTTCCTTTCTCTAGGTTAACTTCTCTTACTTGCTTAGTCACCCTCTGTGTGACCAGATTTCGCATCTCCTCACCATCCTGGTGATCTAATCTGAGTAGATTTATTTTGCTGATCTATTGAGCATCAGCAATGCATGTGATATTCCAGGTGTAGTCTAAAGAGCTGAGAGTAGAGTGTGACTATCACCTCCCTTAATTCAGATATGATAATCTCATCAGCTCATCTGACAACAAAATAGTTAAAATGACTGATGGGGAATGACCCTTGGATACGACTTCAAAGTGCCCTTCCAGTTGCCAACTTTGTTGATAACGGATATAATTTTAAAACTGTGAACTAACAACAACAACAAACACTTAATTTCAGAGTAGGATCTTGAATCATACTTAATAGAAAATGGTCTTGGAGAAGTTCATTAACCTAAGTAACACTTTCCCAATATTTAACGCACAGTATTACCGAGGACTAAATTAGTTGTAATGTGCTTGTAAAGTGATAAGTACTCAGTGCATATTAGTGATGATAATTATAACTTTACTATTATTACTTATTCTAGGAGTGTAAGAAACATTTATTTTTAATTCTGAATATAAGAATGTGTGACTTCACTGTATTTTTAATGTCTTCTAATAGAGCTAACCTGAGCCTCCAAGATAGAAATCATTCATAAAAAACAGCCACACATTGTCCAAATTCCTTGACAAATTAGAACAAAATAACAGTTCTGACAGTAGTTATTTATTTATTATGGAGTGATAAAGCGGGTTATATGTTATAAAGAGTGTTTATTTCTCTTTAATGGTAAAATCATCATTTCAGCAGAATGATGATTTTGTATGCATTTTGTATATATTTTGGACAAACCATTCCTCTTTGGTGTCTCCCATTAAGAGGTCTATTAGGATGATAAAGATGTTATTCATTTTTCAGAATGCCTTTTAAGTTACAATTAAACTAATATCATAGCAGAAGCAGCCTTTTATGCTAAATCATATTTCAAGGGTAATTATTATAATTCTGTTCTTTGTACAGCATCTGTTACACACACACACAGAGTTTATAAGGGCCAACTTGTATTGGCTCATAAAAGCCTATTTTAAATTATCAGGAGTTTTGTAAACCACTTGATGTCAGACGAGAAGCTTGAAATTTGCCATGGTGAGATGATTTTCACCATGAAAATTGGTGATGTTATAAATTAAAGCCATTTCCTCCTCTTGAACAGCTGGATGTTAAACACCAGCACACCTGCGCTGTAAAGTATTTTCCTCAGTAAGACAAAGGGCTATTTTCACTGACATTGCTTTCAGTATGAATGTTTACAGGGGAAAAATTAACAATATGGTCTTTAAACTTTTTTCTCTGTGTTCTCAGGGATACGGAAAGACCGAAGAGGAGGCAGAATGTTGAAACATAAGCGCCAGAGAGATGATGGGGAAGGAAGGACTGAAGCGGGACCCTCTGGAGACATGAGGGGTGCCGACCTGTGGCCCGGCCCTCTCATGATCAAGCACACGAAGAAGAACAGCCCAGCATTGTCCTTGACAGCTGATCAGATGGTCAGTGCCTTGTTGGAGGCTGAGCCCCCCATTATCTATTCCGACTATGATCCTACCAGACCCTTCAGTGAGGCCTCAATGATGGGCTTGCTGACCAACCTGGCGGACAGGGAGCTGGTTCATATGATCAACTGGGCAAAGAGGGTGCCAGGTAAGAAAATGAAGCTCAACTTCTATTTTTAAGTGCCAGGAATTACCCAAGAGCTGACTGCAACGTCAAAGGAGAGAGAGTGGGAAATAATAACTTGTTACCTAATTGGTTTCAAAGATTGTTCATTTTCAGTATGAAGACACTGTGATTCCCCTAGAAATAAAGAAGCGATGTTTTGTATTTTTTTAAGATTTATTTATTTGTGCATTTAAGAACTGGGGTATAGGCCAGAAGTGTGGGGGGTGATAGGAATTCACCTGAGACAGAGCGGGGAATAGAACAGGCAGATCGACTGAAATACACTGCTGAGGGGAGCAGCAGGGAGACAGGAGAGGTCTGCTGTGCCCTGTGGGTAGCTCCCTGGCCAGGGATTGAACTTGTGCTGCAGTGGCTGTGGATAGCTTCATAATGCAGAGACATAACCCCTTGCGCCACCAGGGAGGCCCAACAAACAATGTTTTAAAAGAAAAATCTAGAAGAAATTGAAGTCTTTAACTTGACATTATTTTTTAATGTATCATGGTCCCCAAAGAATATGAGGTGGACACCAAATAATAAATGTATTTAAATGATATGGTAATACTAAATACTCTATGATCTACAAGTTTTCAGTATTGAGGAACTTTGTTCCAAGCACTTCAATTATGAGCAAACAGTTTTACTTAGAATGTCTTTTCTTTTAAAATCCTTATGGACTAATGAGATTATAAGGGGCTTCTTTACTAAATGTTGATTATTTACTCAACCAAGTTATTCTTTTTTAAAATTATTTGTTTATTTATTTAATTTATTTGTAAAAAAAAACCCTTAGTGAATATTTCATACATTTCTATATATTATTATAGAAGCATGTGATCCTTTGAATAAGGAGTCAACAACATTGTACCAAAGATAAAGGGCATTCAGGTAGTGGAGATTTGACTACATGGAAACCTGGGGATTAACAGGCATATTTAGATTTTTTAGAGTCAGTGCAGCTGGCAAATACAAACTTCTAAACATCTTTGGAGTTAAGCAGATATTGGAATAAATGTAATCTGCTCTTCATTTTACCTTTATATCTGTTAGTGCCTTTTATAAAAAAAATCTTAAATACTTTGGGATAAGAGATGGAAAAAAAAAAAACAACTAGTGCCCATATTCATATACTATATCCATAGATTTAGCATTAAAAGAGTGGTTATTAAATCCTAGTTTACTATGATCCTCACATGGTATAACTTTTCAACAAATGTTTCATTTATCTGAAAGTCAAAAAAGGAAAAAAAAAATGACTGTAATGTTTTATTTTAAATTTCTGCATCACACTCAATTGACTGTTTCTGAGTTTCAGTGTCAATGACAGACATTTGATTCCCTCCCCCGGAAGCTTGAATTAGTCACGTAACTATGACTTTGATTTATTAAAAAATATGCTTTTTCCAAAATTCACTACAATTTAATATACCGCAAGGGCAACTTCTCGCTTTCAGTTTGTATTCTGGTTCTACATATTTAATGACTATGTGGATAAATATCTAGCCCTGGCCTGTCTTGCCTTTGCGAAGCTGGTGACTCTAAGCCAGGCAGTCTCCCCGACCGGGGAGGGTGAGCTGAAGCTGATGGTTCAGGAAGAGAAATGAAGGAAAAATGACAGAGCCGTGGGAAACACCTTAACTACTTCTTCATTCTTGTTTTGGAAAATGAGGCAACCATTCTCCTTCCCCTCCCTGCCCAAGGCCCTCCCTACTCAACTCTAGAAGTTACTTTTTCCTTCCACCACTGTACTTGCGGCTCCTTCCTCACTCAGTTTTGGTTTCAGGGGGAGAGAATCCACTTTCTGGACATACCCCGCCCTCCGCCCACTGCAAGCTCAGGTTTCTTGGAAGTTTCCTGTGTTGTCTCAGGGGTGTGTGATTATCTTAGCCATTCCAGGGCTGCTCTGGTGCTGTGTCTGTTGGGTACCCCGTAATTAGCTCCCCTGACATGAACATCCATCCTCATTACTCTAATCAGGGTTGAACTGAACTCAGGAAATCCTTGTTGGCTGAATGAGTGAGTGAGTGAATGAATGAATGAATGAATGAAAGGTAATTTTTGAAACTTCTGACTTTAGGAAATCTCTGAGTCCTATTAAATCTCCACTGTCCCAAAAAGTAGACCTGACCTTTGGGGCTGTGGGGTTACTCTACTTCACCTGTCTTCAGAATCACCTGCTGATCTCATGTGTCTCCAGTAACTGCCTAAATCAGCCCCATTGCCAGCCTTTCTCTTCTAAGGGGCCCTATCCAGAGGAATGTACACAGCTTCAGCAGCAACTCAGTTTCACTTAGCATAATTTAAAACTTAAAATGGGGGCTTCCGTGGTGGCACAGGGGTTAAGTCTCAGCACTATCAAGCTATCACCAGCCACTGAGGCACGAGTTCAATCCCTGGCCTGGGAGCTGACCCACTTGGTGTTGCAGACCACTCCTGTCTCCTGTCCATTTCAGTATTTCCGCCTTTTCTGCTGCCCACCCTGTCCCTGGTGAATCCTCTCACCCCCGGACCTCTGGCCTACACCCAGTTTTGTATGCATAAATAAAATAAAAATAAATAATCTTAAGAGATTTTTTAAATGAGGGTAAGGCCAAGGCAGAGCTAGAGTGCACAATGCCTCAGTCTGGGAATTGGATCCTCACAGAACTCATTCTCTTTTGGGTGGTTCCTTAGATTCAGGGACTTAGCAAGCCTGCCCAGGGCTTGTTTAGGCTGTCGTGGTGGTGCAACCTGTCAGCCCAGCGCGGTGAAAGATGATGTCCTGAAGTGCAGTGACATGCTGGAGAGGCGACCGATGAGGATGTTTTAGGATAAGCTTTGCATAGCTATTTTATAAGCCTGGAGGAGGGGGTGGGGGCAGGTAGAACTACCCTACCATGAATGGTGTCAGCAACCCCTCTGGCTGGCCATGCAGAGCTTTCGTTGAGTGTTCCATTCCCAGCTCTCCCCTGATTCTGTGGAAGCTCTGGTTGAAACCCAAGGAGAGCAGTTATTCACCTGATTTTTCATTCATGGGAAACTTGGAAACCCATCGATGCTTGTTGACCCAGATGTAATTAAAATGTTAAAATCCTTTTCACATCTTGAGAGTATTTGAGAACAGTGCCCCACCTGGGCCATTTGCTCTTCCTTCATCAGGGTTCTGTTTCACTCAGCCTGGGTCAGAGTCCTGAATCTTGAGATCTGTTCTTGAGTGCAGCGGGCATCCCCAGGGCACCAGGGGGAAGGTTGTTGGACTGTGGCTCTGTCACTTCTTGGGGGAATTTGGTGTGAAGAATGACAATATTTTGTAACTATGTGCTAGACAGATCTATTACTAGTAAAGTGGGTTGAAGTGGGTTAATTATCTCTTCTCAAAGGATGTGCTGAAGTCCTGACCCATCGCTCCTCACATGGGGTCTTATTTGGAGGAAGGGTCTTTACTAGAGTTAATCAAGCTCAAGTAAGGTCATTACTTATTAATACTTATTAAAAGGGGAAATTGGACATAGAGACCCACAGAGAGAAGATGGCCATGGGGCTGGGAGGATGGGTCTGCTAGCCAAGGAGTGCCCAGCATTGCCAGAGCCTCCGGAAGCTAGGAGAAGACACAGAGGGTCCACCCCTCCAGGCTTCAGCGAGAGCATGACCTGCTGAGTCCTTGATTGCAGATTGTAACTTCCAGAGCTGGGAGGCAAGGCATTTCTTTTGTTTTAAGGCATCCAGGAAATAAATGTATGATGCCCTTAGGAAACAAATGTAAATTGTATTAAACATACAAAGTGCTCGTATTTTTGAGGCAAATGAAATAAGGACCTTTTGATCAAAAGAGGAATGTTTGGCTCATCTGGTGTAGACTTGGCTAATCATTTACTTTTCTATATTCTCGCCATTACCCCCCCAGCAGTTCACTGGATGTGTGCTTTGAAGTTGATTTAGATTTTTAATAGTTCCATGCATCTACCTGGCAAAGACCTGTAAAAAATTTTAACTTACAAAACAATGTTTTATCTGGTACTTTAATAGTTTCCCTTTTAACATGTATACCTTTGATCCATTTGAATTCATCCTGGTGGACAGTATGAGGTGTGGCTGCAATGTCGCCTTTATGCACATGGCTGCACACTTGTTTCCACCCCATTTATAGAACTGCCTCCTACAGAAGTATTTTTAAGACTTCCTTTATAGTTGACCTTTCAAGTTTACTGTTTTGTTAAGAGTGATAGGGCTGACCTATTGGTTTACAGGTTTGGCTATTTTTCCCAATTCTGAAATCCAAAAGATTGAGAAGCGATTGATTCATGAGTAATACATTTTGCCTCATTTGTATGAACTGAATATATGGTGTGATTAGCCTGTCATGTGTCGCTGTATTTCATAGCGTTCCACTCATCTTAGAACTTGCTACATTTAGAAAAGACCAGTGCAGATAAGAAACAATCCCGTGAACCAACATTTAACATTGAATAAAGCAGCAAGCATGTTCCCAGGAGGGAAGATGGATGGACCAGACTTCCCTCTCCCCGTCGGGTGAAGGTGTGCCCCAGCACCCCACATTCCTGCTGCTCTAACCATCCTGAGAAGTTGGTCCTCTCAGAGCTTCAGCAGCTCATTTTTAGGCTTGTGATTCCCAGACTTCTTTCTGTAAGTCACAACACCTAAATACTCAGTTCCCACTTCCAGCTGCCCATTTACCTGACATTCCAGGTAAATGTCACACCTCCAACCAAATATCCAAAACTGAAGTAGCTGTTCTCCCGCCCGCCTCAGCAAACTCACTTGCTCGCTGCAGGGGCTCCATCCTCTTCTTTTGCCAGCGTCGGACTCATCTTCTGGTCCGGCTCTTCTTCACCTTGTGCAGCATTTCTTTCTCTCAGGATTTCTAGATCTGGGCTTTCCTTCTGTTTCACCGGCCCCACTTTGGGCCATGCTCTATTTTTTTGCACAGGACTGAACTCTAACTCATCTTTTTGGTTCCAACCTCTCCTCCCTTCACTTGATCC